GGGCGGCCGAGATACCTTCTTTTCTTGCATTGGATGCAAGAGCCACTTGTCAAGGCACACGACCAGATGGCAAAGACGCCCAACGGATGAGCCAATAGGCCAATCGCCAGCGTCTTCCCTATCCATTCCACCCTGCCGACCTCGTATGGGTTTCCGCCGCGGAATTCAACTTTGAACTAGATATCTCTCGCAAACTCCTTTCGAAATGGATCGGGCCCTGGCCGATTGTGGCACTCGTTGGGGACGCACCCGAAGGACCTTCCTTTGTCGTTCAGGTGCCCGCCCGCTTGCTTGTCAACCCGGTCTTTCACTGCTTCAAGTTGGCTCTTTACACGCTAGCGGAACATGACGACTTTCCCGGGCGATGATCGCAAGACCTACCCTCGATGGATGGTTTTCAAGAGGTTGGCGACATCATATCCTAGCGACGTTACTGCAACTGGCCAACTGATTTCTTGGTCCATTTCGCATACTGCACCCATCGAGCTGACCCTTGGTTGACCTGTGCGGAACTGCAAGCAACAGGTACCGATGTTCTCGCACGCTACGAATGCAAGTTGCAAGGCAAGCCGGCATCTTCGTCTCCATGTTGCACCCACGTCCAGGTTCCATCTTCAGATCGTCAGCTTCGCTCTCGACCCGGGTTGACTTCATAAGGAGGGGGGGGGGTGTTGCATGCTGCGCCTGCACACGGGCCCATTTGCAGGGGCCTGACAGCTGCTGAGGGGCCCCCAGGCCGCACACCATCCAGCGCGCGCCCTGAAGGCCCACGGCGGCCCTCTAGGCCGCAGGCACAGGGTGAGGCAGCACTAATTTTTTATTTATTTATTTATAATGTGAGGTGCTGTCCTATTTTTGACGGTTCAGGAACTGTTTCGGACTTGCAGTCCCCAAGGCACGGCCTTGGGCTGGGTGCACCAGACGCAAGGCGGAAACAGGCCCAGGCGCATTTTGGGCGCCATCCTGCAGGGCCGAAACGGGCCCGGGCGCGTCTTGGTGCCATACGACCATGCAGGCCGTTCTAGGCCACACGATGGTTCGCCCAGTACGGCCCAGCGCACTATATAGCTGGGCCTCCTGCTGGGCACTGGACAGTTCGGTCGTTCACTTCTTGAGTGACATGCTGCTGGAAAGAGGCTACACTATGCTGCGCTATTATAGCGCTGTGCTGCTGGACCAGGAAGGGGACGCACACGGTGGGAGAGAGAGGCGGAGGCTTACCTGCAGCGGCAGACTTACCTGGCGCCATAGCTGGGGCTCCACGCGGTGCCTGCACAGGGCGGCGACATAGTCAGCATGAGGGAAGCCACCTGCAGGTGAGATAGCGAGGAGGACGGCATCTTCTTCTCCCCCTCGTCCTCCATCTCATTTCTCTCTCTCTCCCTCTTCCTCCTCCCTCCTTCCTCTTCTTCCTCTTCTTCTTCTTCTTCTCCAGATACGAGAGTGAGAGAGGTTACCAGCAGAGGATATGGGCAGAGGTTACGGAGGGCCTGTGGCCGAGGATCTGATTCGGCATTTCTGAGGCAGACACTGATTGGACTTCGGCAAGGGACTATTTTGGACATCGCTACTGCGATCTTGGACTTCTCCCTCGCCTCCATCTTCGCCCTCCCTCTTCCTCCATCCCTCGTCTATGGTATCTCCCCATGTGCGTGTACAAGGAAGGACCTTTCTTCTTGGTGTGCTGTCCCTCCTCCTCCTCTCACATGTGGATGTATGATGGGATGTCGTGTCAACCCAGGTCAGGTCAAGACTTACTTTGAAGTCTTCCGTTGCGCTATTGAGTGCCATTTTGTATGTACCAGGATGTACATTGCCTGTTGATGTTTCACTAACCTCGCATTGTCCATCCAGTCCTTTTCATCACACTGCGGATCCTTGGCTCTACCTACATTGCCCAACTGGGCATGTATCAATGCATCTGGCTACAATCACGACTACAGGGGCTCAAGTGGCGGCTTGTCTTCCTCTTTTGTCGCCTTGCTGCCGCCTCTCAGTGAAGCGTGGCTGCAGTCAGCTGCATCCAGCAAACTGGGTCGAGGAAAACCCCCCATCACATGAGCTCGACCTTTTTTTTTTTTTTTTTTTTTCCGAGCTCGAGCTCGAGCTCTTTCTGCCGTAGACAGTGTGCTTGTTCGTTTCCTCTCTCGTCAAATTATAGTGGTGCAATTAACGTTGTGGGATTCCGAAAGACGGATCGTGGAAAAAAAGGAAAAGGAAAGGAAAAACAGACGTTGCACCCACTCGGGACTTGTAATATATGGCCATGGGATTTCACCTGCTCGATGTTAAGGAGCAATCAGGGCATACTTGCACTCCGATCTTTTCAACCTCCCTCTGGACGCAATTGTGGTCAGGTGCATCCAGGCCTGGTCGTAAAAACGGTCGTCTACACCCAAGAAAGTCCTAGTGTGAGTGTGTCCTTTTTCAGATTACTCGGGTTGGTTGAACTCTGCCATCGCCCTGTGCCTCGAGCAAAGTTTGGTGGCTGTGCATGTGCAAGGAGACCGTGCTTTCATCAATGTACCTGTCTGCCTACGACCAATCTGATGATATGTAATTGATGGGGAAATCTTCAGGTGAAAATAGAGCACTCCGCAGTGGTGGTTTATAAGTAGTCTCTAGGTGAGGGCCCGAGGAGGTGCAGGTGGTGCCATGGTTCGTCCACGGAGAGAGAGAGAGAGAGAGAGAGAGAGAGAGAGAGATGCTGTACGTGGCTCGACATGGAGCGGGTGATATAGCTCGCTATCAGATTGTGCGATAAATGAATCAATAAGAGAGAGAGAGAGAGAGAGAGAGAGAGAGAGAGAGAGAGAGAGAGAGAGAGAGAGAGAGAGAGAGAGAGAGAGAGAGAGAGATGCTACTGGTGACTTGGCATGGAGCAGGTGATATAGTTCGCTATCAGATTGTGTGATAAATGAATTGGCGTGGAGCAGGTGATATAGTTCGCTATCAGATTGTGTGACAAATGAATCAATGAGAGAGAGAGAGTTGACAGAGCTGGTTATGCCTGACTCGAGTGTGCATGGATGCCGTACTCAACAGTAAGGGAGAGAGTTGGAGACCGGACAGGAACTCGGGTGTATTTGGCGATGATGGTTTACCCTCGCGGGGTTTATGAGGGTTGAATGCCTTGTACGAGTATGCTCCTGTCCATGAAGTGAATGGAGGAAGTAGGGTCGATATGCCTGAGCTCGGTGGGGGAAGAGGGCCTACCCGTGAGTACATGCCTATTTCCTGGCATACTCACACTTTCGAGTTTTTTCAGGAGGTACATGACCTAGTGCGAGTATGCCCTTGCCTCCAAAGAGATAGGCATGCTGGTTACCAACTGTGGAACGGTGCCGTAGCTGGTTGGCGGATGTTAAGTCAGCTCCCCACATCCCCCTTTCTCTCTCTCAGATGCAGAGAAGGAAGAAGTAGCGAGCTTAGTTTTGTGTAGATGGCTACCATAGCCAGCTAAGCGTGCAAGGAGATAAGTTGTAGCTCTGAATGATATACACATTCCAGGGATCACGGGCTGGAATCCTGACGGTATTGAATGGATACAACAAGGAGATATTTTGTGGTTGTGTCTGGAGCATGGTGAAAATCGTGTATCCCGTTTCAGGGGATGTTGAGCGCAACGGATTGCAATAAAGTCACCAAGTCACACCGAATTACATGTGTGGGACGGACGTTTCCCGTCGCACTGAAGTATGAATGAATCAATGACACTCCACTCTTTGACAGGCAGGCAAACTCGTAGGGCCTTGTGCGACACCACTCAACAGAAATGGAACATGTGTCTTCTGGTTGCAGGAATCTGAAGCCCAAAAAAGTACGGTTGGGATATGGACTCCAGCCACGTGTGCTGCTGATAAAGAGATGACATCAATAGTGTTTGGGGCAGTTCTCCCTCAGGAAGGAAGAAAATAAAAAAGGATTGGAGAGTAGTGCGACCGCTTTGCCAGCTCGAACAGAGGGGCATTTGTCCAGTATTGCAGGGGTCTTTGTTAAACCACCAGTGTGGTGGACCCTAAATTGCTGAACATCATTTTTTTTGCCCCCGAACAAATGAAACCAGCTCTGCGTGCACTGGTGGAAGAATTGGTCAATGGGCTCGTTCTGGCGGTTTACGTTCTCAAGGAGCTGTGGCAGGGTGAGCTGTCAAAGGTCACGCAGCCTTGGTGTCCACCGGTGGATGTTTAGGTTGATGGGGTCCCTACTGGTGGTTTTATGTTTCCAAGGGGGCTGTGGAAGGACGAGCTGTTGATGCCATCGGCCGTCTTTTGATGTGGAATTGGGGTCTGACTCTGCGTTCTTTCCTTCAGGCACACTATATTCTCCGGTCTGTCTTCCGCTGCCAACACTCCACGGCATGTTGAGCGCATAATTCTCTTCATTCTTCTTGCACGACATGTGTTCTCCATCTCTTCCATAGTCTACGTGTTTGTTTTTTTGACTTGTGCTATTCCCTGTGCCCCCCTCCCCAGATCATAGTTCCCCTATCCTCTTGTTCGACTGCTTCTAAGAAATCGCATCTATTGTTGCCCTTGATATCTATGTGCCTTCTGGCCTACCCACTCTAGGGTATTGCTAGCTGTATCTGACCGCAATTATGGGCAAATCATTGGAAAATTTGTGTTAAACTGGCCTAATTCGGTTCTCCACATGATCCTTATGTGGTGAGCTTCGTTCTTGCGTACTCTCAATGACTCCTCCCCATCCTCCTTTTTATCCTCCTCCTCCTCCTTGTTTGTCCTTCTCATCCTCCTTTTTATCCTCCTCCTCCTTGTCCTCCCTCCTCCCCCCCCCTCCTCCCATTGTAGTTCATTGGGTTTTCTGCTTATAGTGTATCATCTCTTGCTCAGAATATGACGGGTTGTTCTTGTGGGTGAACTTTTGGCTTCCCTTCGTCAATCATTAATGATGAATCTGTTTTTTGTGCCAAGGAGGGTTGCCTTCTTATATTGACGACAATTCCTGTGGATGCTGCGGTTGACGTCATTTTCGTGCAGGATATCATAGCCTGTGATGTGGTTAACCCCGATGACATCACAGTGACCTTCGATTCCATTGGTGGTCTGGATTCCGTCAAGCGTGCGCTGTACGAGCTGGTGATCTTGCCTCTGAAGAGACCCGAGCTGTTTGCTCGTGGGAGGCTACTGAGGCCGCAGAAGGGCGTCCTGCTGTATGGTCCGCCTGGAACTGGGAAAACCTTGCTTGCAAAAGCCATAGCCAAGGAGTCATCTGCATGCTTCATCAATGTCAGGATCGCAACCCTTATGTCAAAATGGTTTGGAGATGCACAGAAGCTGGGTAAGTGACCCTGTTTTCGGTAAATCTTTGTTTTGTCGTTTTCTTAGTAACTTAAAGCAGGGAGCATGCCTTTGTGTTTCTATGAAAGAGAAATGCCGCTGAAGTGTGATTATTCTATTGAAACGAGGTTATCGAACCATTAATGCATACATTCCGGGATTGTACGATCTGTAGGTCATGTTTACAAGACCTGTAGAAGAACCCGACAAGCTGAGAAATTGTAGAGTAAGCTGAACGTTCCTTTCTGACTCAGTTTGACTAGGACCTGTAATAGATAGAACTAACAAAGCTGTAGAAATACCAATCTGATCCGTGTTCCGTCCACCCTCATGATATAGTTTTTTATTATATACAAGTCGTTGCCCACTGTGGCGTCGCATATGATGCACACCTCCTCCTCCCCCCTTCCTGCTCCATCACTTACTCCATTCCTCATCTTTTGCCACCTACTCTGTCTCCCCACCCCCCTCCTTGGCGTCCTTCTCCTCCTCTGCTGTGCTCACCTCTGTTGCCTCTACTTCCTTCTCCTCCTCCCCTCCCCCTCGTGCCTCTCTCTACTCGAGGTTAGACTTGGTACTTCGACCGACCCGTGACCTAGGTGGTACTATGTGGGCAGGGCAGTATTATGTGGCTTGGGTGATGCTATGCGGGTTTTGGTACCATGCACCAGGTGGCTGGTTGACAGTAATACTCGCTCACAGCCAAAAAGAGGGAAATGCACACAGCCACAGAAAGACAAAGAGAACGTACATGGTGAATGCTAGGCCCAACTCGGCCCTTGGCACAGCTAGGCTATGTGGGCTGGGTGGTGTTTTGTGGTTTGGGTGGTAGTAGGTGGGTTCGGTGGTACTGTGTGGGCCGGGTCACACTATTTGGACTCAGTAGTACTACGTGGGCTAAGCAGTATTCTGTGGCCTGGGCTATACCATATGGGTGGGGTGGTACTCTGTGGAGCAAGGATCATACTATGTGGACTGGATGGTGGTAAGTGAGCTGACTAGTGAAGTGTGTGATAAGTGGGTGATGCTATGCGGGCCAGTACAAATCACTAAGGAAAAACAAACATGTTGGTCTTAGACACTGCTGTCAGTCGATGGGGGTGGGGGAAGTAGATGGGAGGCGCAGCTACTGGTGAAGGGCTCGGTCTTTGCGTTAGCTGGCCCTAACATGGGCATCCTCACCCTACTCCCTGACCACCACCAATTAGGGCAGGGTGTATGTTGCATACTGTAACGTGCAGACCAGAACAAGAACCGACCTTTCAATACAAAGTATAAGATAGCACAACGGAAGACTTAGATACCAGTGATCCGAACAATCAATGTTGCAATGCAGCCCTGAACATACATCATCATCATCGTTACATGGTGTGAATGGGGCCTGGCGCTTCACACAGGAAGACTGTGCCAGCCCATACCATACACAGACGAAGAGGAAGGGGATAGACGAAGAGGAGGGGGAAGATGGGAATGTCGTCAACACCAAGTCTTCGGCACAAGCCCAAATAGTCCCTCGTCGAAATGTCTGAATCCCAAATGTCAAGTCTGGATCCAATGTCGTCAAGTCTCAAGTCACAACTCTGTCTCTCTCTGTCATAGTCTGAGAAGTCAGGTGGCGAGAGGGTGAGAAGAGAAGGTGGACTTAGAAGAGGAAGAAGAAGAACTCTCTCTCGCTCTGTGTCCAGTACTAACCTGTGAAGTTGGCGCCTTGATGCAGGTACCACGAAGATGGAGCTGGAGCGATGGCGCCACAGGTAAGTACCACTGGCCTCCGCCAGTCTCTCTCCCACTCTGCGATCTACCACCTACCAGCGACCAGCGCTGAAGACTACTCTATGGCTATGGCGCCCAGCGCCGAAGACTACAGCTAGCGCTACTACTACTTCGCGCTGGAGACTAATGCAGCGCTCCTCCTGAGTGCTGCGGCCGAATCCTGAAGACTACCAGTGCCTACTGAAACTACCCACCCGTGAAGTGCCTAGGACAGTCCTATGTACTACCGGGGTGCCTCCTGACTGCTGGCGAGCAGTCCAGGAGGCTGCTCTTGCCAATGCCGATCGGAGGCAGGGGCTGCAGCTGCAGCTCCTGCTCGAGTTCGTGAGGAACAGGCTATTTCTGGCCTGTTCCGCATCCCTGTTTCCGTGCCTGAGTCTTAGGGGCAGGTCGAAACAATGAGGGCCTGAAAATGGCCCTCCGTTTCAGGCTGAAAGACCCAGAAATAAGGCTGAAACGGGGTAGGGCCTGCAGGCCCTCGTTTTTCAGCTTTCAGGCTGAAACGACCGGGGCCTGTAAGTTTTAGGCTTTTAGGCTGAATGTCCGGGACGGGCCCTGCAGGGCCCGTGTGGTTACGCAGTATGCCACACCCCCCCCCTCCTTGAAGAACCGAGCTTACCTGTGAGGGCGAAGCTGTCTGTCTGAGGGAGGGACCACAGTCCGGGTGGGAGGGGCTGGTCGTGAAGCTTCCTGAGCTAACCTCCGCTTTTCATAATGCGCGTAGATCAGCGGTGCGGATGCTTTCAAATCTGCGCCTGAAATCCACCGAGTGTCGTCGTGATCGCATGCTTTGAATGTGACTTTGTACTGCCTCGGCTTGCTGCCGTACTTGCGATCGGAGATGACGCGGTCAACTTCCTGATGACCATCCATAGAACGAGGGTCCTGCGATCGTCGGCCCGGAAAGTCGTCGCTCTTGGCTGGCGTGTATGTTGCCAGCTTCGAGGCGTGGAAGACCGGATGGAGCGTCAGATGCTCTGGAATGTTGATCACAAATGAAGGGCCATCGGGCTCATCGCCCACGACTGCTGTCATAGACCAAGGTCCAAACCACTTGGGAAGCAGTTTGCGTGAAACATCCTGTTCCAGTGCAAACTCTTCCGCGGAGACCCAAACCAGATCACCGGCGCGGATGGGACATGGTACGCGACGCCTGTTGGCTTGCTGCTGCATGCGGACTTGAGCCTTTTGCATATTTGCGCGGGCTTGAGTCAGCAATTCCTTGTACTTCCGGACGGAAGCGGGAGAACAGGCAGCGTCAATGGCGGCCGGTCGAGGGAGGAGAAGGTCGGCGAAGATACGGCCTTTCCGTCCACCGTGGTGCAACTCGAATAGAGTCACGCCGATTGCCGGGTGCACCTAAGTGTTGTAGGTGAACTGAATGTCGGGGAGGCGGTCAACCCAATCTTTCTGGTCCGTACGGATGAGCGTACGAAGCATCATTTGAGCGGTTTGATGTGCCCGCTCCGTCTGCCCGTCTGTCTGAGGATGCCGAGCCGAACTTGGTTTCATTGTTGTGTCGGACTCCTGCATGAGAGCAGTCCAAAACGTCGACATGAAACGAGTGTCGCGGTCATTGACAATGTCTTCTGGTACACCGTGGCCACAAATCCAACGAGTGTGCAGGAGGCGTGCTAGCTCGGGAGCCTTGGAGTAGTACTTGCAAGGGAGAAAACGCGCGTACTTACTCAATCGATCCACGACCGTGAGGATGCCGTCGTGCCCGAGCCGGTCGCGAGGAAACGGACCGGTGACGTCCATGGCAATGGAGAGACCGGGTTCCCGTGGGATAGGCATCGGGTGTAACTTGCCGTACGGATTGCGGTTGCAGGGCTTGCTGCGTCGACAAACTTAGCAAGAGTCGCAATACCGAGTGACATCGGTAATGAGGTCAGGCCATCGGAATCGCTGTCGAAGCCGTGCAATAGTGCGGTTGACTTCGAAATGGCCGGCGAGTCGTGAATCATGGTACTCACCGAGGAGGCGAGTCCGAAGACGACGGTCGCGTGGGACACATAGTAAGTCCTTGCCTCTCGAGTGGAGGAGCAAGTACCCGTCGACAATGTGGTAATGACTGGCCTGCGGGTGATCCGAAGATAGCTGTGCATAGAGCGTGTCGAAGTCCGGATCAGACTGATATGCCCGGATGAAGTGTGGCTGAAGCTCCTCGTCGAATGCGAAGGCATGATGTGTCATAGCGAAAAGATCAGGTCTTCGCGAGAGTGCATCTGCTGCGCGATTGGAGAGGCCGGGGGCATGGTCGATGAAGTACATCCATCGTTCGATCGTGCTGCTCACCGTGTCCTGCGTATTATAGTAGGTCAATGGATTGTTGTCTGTGACCCATGTGAACCTACGACACCCAAGGAGGAAGTGCCGCCAGCGCTTGAGAGCCATCACGAATGCGAGCAACTCCTTCTTCCTTGCATCATCAAGCGAGTTGATGGGAGGCACTTTGTGGCTGAAATACTCCA